GCAACAGATTATTCAGCGTCTGTTTGTTATGGCTGTGTGCCCGCTTGAGTAAGTTGGGACGCATTGTGACGGGACGGTGGAGAAGAGCAAGCGGATCAGAAATGGATCAAAGACAAAGATGCTGACACTCCGGTTCCATTGCTTTGTTGCCAGATAACGTGGATTTCAGCGAGATAAGCCGCACTGGGGTGAGCAGTGGACGTTAAATTTGAGTGAGGCTGGAGCACAGCTGAAACTTGTAGATGTAGCCCGGCAGGGCGGATGAATCGGCTAAGGCGGCGACTTCAAAATCGGACCCCGGATATCCTGGTTCCTGGTTACCTGTCCAAGGTCAGCCCAGGGTTCAGGAATGTACGACCAAGATCGTTCACGTTAGCGGCAGACGGCGGACAGAAAATCGCGATGGCGAAATCTGGGATGTGAGGGAAAAGAGGGTTCTGGAAGCAGCATGCGCCAAATGGTATAAGACAAGAACATGCACGACAGGTTTTGGGCACATGGCCCAGAGTGCATTGTTATTCGCGGCGGAGAAGGAAGCTTGATTTCTCAGGATGAGGGAGATAGAGAATGGGGGAAATCAGGATGATGGTGGGCAGTGAACCGGGCCCGATGAGTGATCGATCCTTTGAGGGTCGACGCGCGCCTCTTACGTGACCCAGCTTTTTGATCGCTCTCAGACACCGCAGGGGTAGGAGGACAAGTGCTTGTGCCGCTAGGTACGTATTGCGTGGTGGAAATTGCGTGTGCCGTGCGTCAAAAGTGCCACGCGAAACTCACCGATAGGGTAGAAGTTGGTGCTGGTGCTGGGGCTATGATGTCCGCAGGCGCTTGGAGTCGAGGGCGTTTTGTGAGTTGCTGGGCTCCGGCGAATAGAGAAGAATATCCGACTCTGGCGGTCAGAAGTCTGAACAGATGTCTGAGAAGAGGAGGGAAGTAGAGCTGAAGGGCTGAGCTCAAGGTGAAGCTGAAGGTCGAATTTGAAAAAGAGGTTTGTGGGCTGTCAAAAGTGTTTGGCCGCAGATAAACCCATCACACAAGGACCTTTGAGGACTTCCACGGGCCCTAATTAGGTACGAGCTCCTTAGTTAGTTGGAGTTGGGGCTTGGTTCAGGTAATGGTTCACGGACAACAAACTCCTAGTTGGGCAGCCTAGGTGACTGCGGTTCCCCTAGGCGCTGGATTAGTTAAAGACTGGGTACCCAACAAAAGCTCCAGGCACTCACCAGGTTCGTCCGCGGCCCACAAGTTTGTCAGCCGGCCGCTAGTCGATCTTCTCACGTGACCCACTGATGGAGGGGGAAATCTGCCAATTTTATCCCTCATGCCCAAAACAGCCCCTCAGCCTCTTCCTTCTCTGTCTCTCACTCTCACCGCGCAAATCGCCCGTTCATTGTTGACACTCCTTATGGGCACAGTTTCTCCCTTTGCCATCGCCATCGTATCGACATGCACACTCTCAGCAGTGCTGCGCCCTTCTCCACCCCCATATCATGGGTGCCATGCAGCCAAAAGCTTGTCTAATTCCTGCGCGCCTTGACAGCCCGGATCCCTCGAATTACCTTGATCTTTAGAGGATCACCCAAGATCACCCAAGATCTAAGTACATCTTAGTCACTGGCAGATCCTCACACATGAACAGATCCGCATGAACTCCCAAGCACATGGAATATTCTCGGGCATGCAGAAGGATCAGGAAACCCATCTCCTGGCCATCCACAACCTTCCCCAGACGCACGCACATGTCTGGCCCACAAGCCGACAACCTGCCGCCATATTATAGGTTCCCCTGCTGAAGACGGTGGACAAAATATCGCGCAATCACTCGTCTATTTCTTCGGTTTCATCCTGGAGTTTCTTCTCTCGACTTTCCAGACCAGAAATGACGCAAATATGCCCTGATACATCCAAGTGCCTCAAAATGTCCATCTGGTGGAAGTCATGGCTCTTGATAAGCGTGCCGTCCGCCTGCTGAGAAACTAATATTTGTCACCAGATCAATTATTAGCGGCCAGCCTCGGTCACAACAACTAATCACCAGCATAAAATAACGAACAATTTAGACAATGGCAATTAGCGTGATATGCTCGGCTCCTTTTCGCAAGAGGTTTGTGTCAACCAAGCAGCACAGGGCTTGTGGTGGGTGAATGCGATCGCGCAGGAGAGGCAAAGAGATGGTGTGCGGCAGACAATCGCAGAAGACAGAAAGATCACGGAAGAGTGGGTCATGCTCTGATAAGGACGTTACAAGTGCATTCTGGGAACGCGTGGAAAGACATGAAGGGGGAGGGGAAGCCGGAGATATGGATATAGGCAAAGTGGCCATACTCTAATGATACTGTACAAGTGCGGATGGGTGACGGAAGGTTGACCAGAATCATGCTGCGTGCGCTGGCGTATGCATGTACAGCTACAAGTAGGCAGAAAATCAAGGTCCAAGTAAACTTGTGGCCTCGCATCTCTTCAATTACAAGGACTTTTAGAGGAATAGAAGATCGAGGACATCCTTCCTCTTCCCCATCAAGCATACCTCTCTCTCTTCACCCTTCTTATACTTATCATTTGGCGGCAATGACTCTCTTTGTATCTGGAATGGACATGATCACAGATAAAAAGAAGCCCGGAACCGGCCTCGCTTAATCACTGAATGCCACACTACTCGTACTCCTACGTACACCTTCCTTCGGTCATTGGGCGCCAGACATATGTATGAGCTTGGCTGCTTCTGGGTTTCTACGACATTCCTCGTCACAAGCACAAGGATTGCACATGCACATGTGCTCGGTAGGTACACAAGGTACTATGTACAAGGACAGTTAGTTGTATGTACCTCGTACTCGTTGTAGATTAGTGGTTGGCTTCACCCCCACCACCAGGCCGGTTTTGAGTCCGAGTCCGAGTCCGAGTTTGAGGTTGAGACTGAGACCGAGACTGAGAATCCTTCGCCTCGTGATTCATCTACCTTTTCCTCGTACCTCGTACTTGTCCTCGTCCTTCTATCGAGTGATTCTCTCTGCCTTTGCTATAGCCGTACACTCCGACCATGACGAGCAAGGACACCATGACACCTCAAGCAGTGCGATTTACTCCGTCCGAACTGACCAAACACCAACATCCTTGCGCTTGTCACAAAATATCGCAGGATCCTAGCCCTATTCGCATGTGAACTTGTGTATTTGTGTACTTACTTACTAACCCAACCCAACTCAACCCACCATCCATTCAAACCGACCGGCCGACCGACCGGCCCCAACCTCAGCGAGACCGGACATCAACACCAATACCAACACCCTTTACCCCCGTACCCTCCGGCGCGGTCATGGCGCTACATATGTATATATGTGAGTGAAGTGATACATAATTACGGAGTAAAAAGCGGGTTTCTTCTCTCTTCTCATTTCTTGCTTTCCCTTCCCCTACCCTCAAAATAGGCAGTGGTTGCGAGGAAGGATCGATAAGTTTTAACATCAATCCGTCAATCCCATCCAAAAATCCCTCTCTTCGTGACGAGGTACAAGTACTTGGGTAGTATATATAAGTCACCCTTTCCACCGAATTCTCCCATCCTGGGTCATCGTGACGGCACAGCGGCTTGTGGTTCTGTCGGCTGTCTCTGTGGTCGGTGATCCCACCTACAGCCTTGCATGAAGGTTACCTATATGAATACGAGAGAGGTTCCTGCTCGTGCGCGTGCCGTACTTGGTCTGAGTTGTTAGCAAGCCGGAGGAGAGCCTTAAAGTCAGTCGCCGGACCAGAAAGCTATAAGTACAGAGAAGACAAGCAGAAGGGGGAGACAGAGTGAGAGAGGACGAGAGAGAGAACCGGCCCTTGGTTGCATCTTGACACAAGCCTTTCCGCTACCAGCGGCAGTCAGCGACAACCAGAACCAGAAGACACACCAAACCCCATCATTCCGCCCAGAAACCGGACCAGCACTCGACTCAACTCGGCTCTATACACCAATTAGAAGACACGATCCCTCCTCTCCTCTCCAAGGACTACGACCCAGTCGTGCAGTCGCGCACACCATACAGACATACAGACACACACACAGACACGGATAAGAAACGACCAGGAAGAAGAAGATGAGCCTCCTCCGCTACCTAGAATACTACCTCGCGCGCCTCTTATACTCACAAAAAGGTCGCGACACCAAACTGCTGACGCGGGCGGCCGTCTTCGCCACCGTTCCCAAAACCGTGCAGGTCACGTCGCCGACGCTGGGCCCGTCGCCGGCGCACCTCTCGGTCGAACACACGCAGTTCGGCACGTCGAGGTTCCCAGACCTGTCGTGGTCCTTGGAGGATGGCGTTGACAGTGTCAAAGAGTGGCTCCTGATCTGTGAGGACCCAGACGCGCCGCTGCCCCTCGTGCCGGTGCACGGGCTGTACTACGCCATCCCCGCGACCAAGACGACCGTCGGGCCCGACGACTTCACGCTGGCCGTCGATTCTTCCAAGACTGCGCATGCGGACGAACCCGGCGCAAAACACCTCGCCGGCGGGTTCCGGCTGGGCAAGAACCTGCGAGGCACGCTGTACTCGGGCCCGCGCCCGCCCGTCGGCCACGGCGAGCATCGGTATTTCTTCCAGTTGGTCGCCCTCAAGACCCGCCTGGACACAAAGAAGATGAAGCCCCTGGCCACCAGGGATGACGTGCTCAGAGAGATCCAGGGCAAGATCTGCGCGTGGGGAGAGTGGATCGGCATCTTTGAGCACAAGTGGTGACAATCACCAGAAAAGGGGAGACGCAAGAAGGAAATGAGAGAGAGACGTCAAATTGCAGTTTCTCGTGGTGTTGCTGGGTTCACAAACCGTGCCAGTGTTTTCCGTCGCACAATTACAGTGTTTTAATATTAGAAGAGTCTTTACCTCTCCTTGCTTCAATCCCGAAAATTCAAAGCAAAGCCGCATTCGTTTCCGCGACTGTTGCTGCGTTTGTTTCCATCATGGAAATACCCAGCCCCCAAGACATGTTTACTCATACACACTCCTCCCCTCCGTTCATATCGTGGCAATTGGACCATCGGTCCATATCGACGAGAAGACGTCGTCCGTGACAGGCCAGCCAAACTCGGTCAGCATCGGATCGTCCAGGAAGGTCGAGTAATCAGGCTTCGTTATCACCGGTACCGAGCGATCATCCGGGGCAGCCGCGTCGGATTCGTTGGCGGCTTCTGCGCCATCTGTCGTACTTAGCAATGTGACCCTAGGGGGATCCAGAAAACTTCTTACCTGTCCGAGTATCATTCAAGGGCGGCGGATAGACACCCATAAAGCCCCCAAACTCTTCCCGCCACCAGACAATACCGTCCAAGACGACGCTACCAGTTAGGCGGCTACGGATCCGCAGCGCTACCACTTCGGCTCCATTGGGTCTCTTGAACACACGACTACTGTTCCAGAGTTGGGTCAAGGCAACACCGTTGCGAGCTGGCAGGTCATCGTTCTGGACCGACATGCGTTTGTGGAGGCTGATCCCCAGGAAAAGGGCATTTTTGGCCCTCTCGACGTCGATGTATCGATTGAGAGAAGTCTTGAGCAGCCGCAAAAGTACGTGGCTGGTTATCATCAGACTGTAGAAGAAATACAGTCCCGCACCAGATAGGCAAAGCTGTCCAGATCTGTCCAAGTTGTCAAAGGATTCAATCACCTGACAGCACGACGCGCAAAGATCGTAAAGCGTAGTCGGGTCGTGAGCTGTCGGAGACTTGTACAAGTTGAAGGCTTGGATCGTGAGGGTTGCAATATGAATGTAGAGCTGGTCGAGGTCTGAAAGATAATTAATCTCAGAAAACAGATCTCAAAGGTTGGACTCACCAGAAGAGGATTCCAATGCGACACTGGAAATCTGGGCTTGAAAGAGATTCAGCAGCGTATCCAGCGACCTCTCTTGATCCGGACTCATTTTCCAGAGCCCATTTTGTGAGACGGCAATGCAGCACCTCGTGACTACATCCTGTAACTTCAATTCAAATTTTAACTTTGGTGATATTCTCTGAAAGAGTGCTCGTCGCTGTTCGACATCGTGGGGGACATCAAGCATAGGCGTCGGCGCGCTTCCCTTGGAACAACAACCCCTAGTAGGCAAACATTAGTCGGTGCAAAACCTGTGCCAGTGTCAATAAAAAGGCGTACCGCTGATAGACAAGAGTGCAGTATCCCCAAGTCTCGGCGCGAATCTTCAGCTCGTCTTCGGTAAGTTTGACCGGGATTTTGCTGAACTCGTGACTTGCGACTGGCACATGTAATCCGATTTGCATGGCCATGTGTAGCACGGCAGCAGAGAGCGGATAGGTCATGTCGTGTCCGTTGCCAGCTTTCGGGAATGGCCAATATAGGATGAGTAGCAAGGCTTGCACGACGGGCAGCGTGACAGGCGCATTGAGCGACATCAATGCCATAGCTTTGATCTTGGACGGGAGAACAGAGATCAGTGTCGGGTTTCTCGAATAGGTCCGGCATGCGACACCAACAATCGCCCAGAAAAGCAATGGACAGAGGTTGTAATATCCATTCGGCGTCATGTTGGAATCGAGAACAGGAACCAGGCCGGCGTAGTCTCGAAAATACCTATAAAATGCTTAGAGGATGATCTGAAACCCCACTCAACACACCTACAGCTGGAACATGGCGTCAATATCTTTGGAGTCCACAGTGTGCCCTTCCAGAGACCGCGGTAAGGTGCCTGTAGGTTGAAAGTCATGAGCGAGACTTTCCGGAGTCTGTAGTGATTCAGCGGCCGCTTGAGAGAAGGATCGAAACGAGACTGGGGCAATGGCTGCGTCTCTAAAGAAAGGGGCGACTGAAGCAAGACGACTTTCGGACTCGGCATTAGCAGTTCGCAAGTCGTTGACAGCGGCCCAAGACGACTGTGGCAGAGACACCGGCGGTTCGGCCTGGTGGCTGGACGATCTCAGGCGCTCTTGGAGCTCATCCGTCCGATGCTCAAGTTCAGACAATCTCCTATGGATACACGCTCGATCAGCACAGGTTTAATGTCAATAGGAGAGGGGGAAAATCGTGCATACTTGCGCTTGTGTTCTCGTCTGAACGGCTCAGAGATGATGCATTGTCTGTTCATCTTCCGGCATCTCGTACAGGGTTGGTCGGGATCGAGGTATGCATCGCAACGGGCCTTTCAAGCCAGACGGCAATGAATTAATCGCAGCGCACACCAATGACACGCATCATAAGCCATACCTTCTGCTGCCGACATTCTGTGCATGCTCTCTTGACTACTTTCCCGTCGGTCCTGTTCGGTGCGTTAGAGGAGCTTCTCGTAGGCGAGGGCGCGCGTGCCGGATCGGGCTTACGGGGTAGTGTCAACTTCGTTCATTTTACGCGTCGTCTTCAACACTCGGACATTGAAATTCTCTGTCTGGTCGCCGTGATAAGTAAGATAGATATCACACACAGGACAAGACACGAATGGCGACACCGAGGAGATGTAAGAAGTTGAGACGGAGGACGAGACTTCCGGACGATCGAAGGTTCCCTTGGCCGAGGATGTTTGGAACGGGGGGGGCGCAAGCGGTGCAGGGGGCGCATGAGGCGCGCAAGGGGGAAACAAAGGGCTTTGGGCCAAGTGCCAATAATGGCTGACGAACAGCTCAAAGGCCGGACCATGCCGGGTAAATGCGCCGAAGCTCCGGGATTGCAGGACACGTGCATCCGCCCCAGTCCGAATAAATATACGGAGAGAGTCCAGGCTGGCCAGGGTACGAGGTGCATAATATACAAACCACATATATCCGTCAAGGTAATACAGCCTCGTCGGACTTGCAGGACGCGAGCTGCCACATATCCCAGATGCCGTTCATCGTGCAATCTTCACGTCACAACGTCAATTTCCTATCAAACCTGCACATGGCCTCGACCGGGTCATTCCGAGACCTTAACCGCCCACGTTCGCTCATAGAAACAGTACATGCAAAGTATACAATACATGATTAAATGCAAAAAAAAATGAAGTCAGTATGCATCATGCCGACCGAGAAATCATGGCCGTCTCCCAACTCAACTTCCACTCGCGTTCCAGTTTGCTGTGTAACAGGAATTTCTTCAGCTGCCTTCGTACGCCATCCCACCCCAGTGCTGGGTCTCCCAGGGTCATCAGTTTGGTCATCACCTCCATCTGTAAGGAATGCAACTGTCCTCGCCGTGCTGCATTCGCTGTGACCACGGCAAGCCATTCCCATAACTCTCTGTCCCACGTCTCCTCAAAGACCCAGGACCGCAGCACGTCTCCAAGCTCTTCGACAATGCGACGATATCCTGAGCAACGGCAAGTCCAGCCCAAGAGGTTTGCATGGTAGATAAATACCGTTTTGCAAATTGCCGTTTCTATTTTGCGCTCTGCTGCCGAGATTCGACATAACCTCATGACTTGGGCACTTTGTAGGCGTGGATCAAAGCTCACTAGGAAGGCTTGATCTTCCTCCGATAGGACATCAGATCCTGCTTCTCGATCGATGAGCTTGGTCCAACGATCGGTGTTTGCGAGAATGGTAATCGTATCATAGGACAAATGACCATCCCCGGCCACAAATTGGAATCCCATGGGCAGTGCGTCAATGATTTTAGTTATTGTTGGTGAAAACGGTTGGCCCGGGTATTGTAACCGGATTCCATCAGATGCAGGGTCCTGTAGGGCGATGCGGTTGCCGAATATAAGCAAAGCGTTGGATTCAGCCCTGTGGAGACTGGTCAGATCTCGTTTGTGTTCGGAAAGTGGTTCGTCCGCGCAACATACCAGGATACGAAGGACCACAGAGAACCACCGAATGCGTTCAGAATGCTTGGGGCAGCTGCCTTAACCATCTTCCTGAGACCATTCAAGTGCGCTTCGTAGGCATCGACATCCAAAAACACGTTCTGCACTGGTTAACAAGGTCATGTCAAGTGAGACAGGCAATCCTTACATCAATAATCATGAGGAAGACTGTTGCAAGAATAACGGCCTCGTCAACACACCCCGAATTCAACTTGTTCCGAATGCCATTAAGCGCTTGGCCCTTGTGCTGGAGTGACCAGTTACACATCCTTGTTTGGAAGTTTTGACCCGCTGCCTTGAAACTCAGGCAAAGCGCCACAGTCGCTTCGAACAGCTCTACATTCTGTAGGGCAAACGGGAACGTGTCCCGGATTAGAGGGTTGTCCTTTGTCTGGTATCTGAGGCCAGGCCTTTGCGAGGGTGCCCAGTTGTGGATATCTGAACTCCATTAGCAAGAGTTTGTGGAAGCAGGTCAGGGCAGAGAATACAGTGATCCATGGCTGCGACAACTTCGTCGCCCTGACGGACTGGTACAGAGTCAAAGGGGTCAAATAACTGCGAAGTCGGCTGTCGGGCAAGTCTGGCAAAATTGGTGGGCACTCCGTCAAGTACTCCTCGTTTGCTATCATTCGTTGAGGCTGTTCCTGACCGACGCCGCCACTTCTGATTTCCTGGTGTAGATTCTGGAACTGAGCCGGACTGTGCGGTTGGTGTGTATTTCTGCTCCGACTTGAGATCGATGTCTGCATTGGGCACGGGCCCGCTAGTAAGAACCGAATCTGGGGATGGGCCATAGATCCATTTGAAATTCTCATCAGATTTCTCCGGCTCCTGTTTAACGATCGCTCCAGTGTCGACCGGGTCCTTAGATGAGGATCCGCCATCACTGCTTTTGTCGCTTCCTCTGTGCGGCGAATCCCCCGGTTTGGCTGACGGAATGGCTTTCTTGCGCCAATATGCCACTCGGGCGGCGTGCGCTCGAGCTTCAGAGTGTTGGAGTTCCTGCAGGCGGCGTTTGTTGGGCTTTGCATGATCTTTGAAGGTTGATTGATTATAATTGACCAGAGTCGGCATGGCGCGGCTAATGCTATTTGTCAATGTTCATTCTGATAGGGGGCTAATATCTCGAAGTGAGCGCTTTTCGCCCCACGGATTGGTGCAAGGAGGTCAACCGGCACCCTCAGTCCAGAAGCAGCAACCCGAATATTGTGGTGGTTTAATCGGAGGACAGATGAAGGCCGTTTCGGGGTAATCCTGAGGCTTTCGGATTGATGACCAGCAGTCGAACCAACTCCAAACTCCTGGTCGCAAGAGTGCGAAAGATTCGTAGGGGCGGTAAATCGGAAGAGATAACTCTATTAGCAAGCGAGGCGCAGTCGATCTAGCAGGTCTAGAGCAGATTGAAAATCCGGATTTCGTGGGAACGACGAGAGCGGCGGTCGAGGGTCCACGTTGACGCTGCGACACATCTGTATCGAGTCTCCGGTGGCAAGAGTGGTAATTGTCGCCAAAGGCTGATGATCCTTTACACATACAAGTTCATCCCAGTCATATAGTGTAGCGGCCGACGATACCGACACTTGCGACACATGCGGGAGCAGTTCGATCCACTATAATCGAATCAAGGTTCTGAGAAACTCAGGTGAGAGCGCAATGGTGCGTCCGCAGCCTCGGCATCGTTATCTTGTTTTAGTTGCCCGCTACTCTCTGCCAACAATGAGCCCAAGTGGTCTCGCAGACAGAGCGCTGCTAGATGCCCAAACGACTTGTCCTTGTGCCTGTCGACTGGCGAAGATCGTGACAGGGCTGCAAAGGCTTAAGTACCGCTGATCATCATCTCTTGGTTCAGGTCAAGAATTGAGGAATCAGGTATATGTTCTTCAGGTCGCCGTGATCTGATATGATTCGAGAGACGGGTGCAATGGTCCGGCAAGCGACTGTTCCTCGGCAGTATGAGTATATCAAGGTATCAGAGCAACAGGGCAAGGTGAAGGGGAGAAAGATTTCATGGGAGGTTACAGGTTCTGGATGGTGCGGACTGCGGACCGCGAGGGGGCCAAGGGTCTTATCGATAAGGCTGGTCGGTGCCTACTAACACCGACTGCGAACTTTTTTTTTCATGTCGAGGCACTCGCGGCGCACTCAATGTCTATTGAGCGCCGCATTTCACACAGCAAACGATCAATGTCTTTCAAGACTGACAATGCAGAATAACGAGATGACATAGATTCTGCGACACCAACACTTTCCCCAATAATGGATATCCACCGGTGCCGCTTTGTGCAGTATCCTCCACAGCCGATCAACGCTCTCGCATTTTCTCATTCCCCCAACCCCAAGCAAAAAGCGCCTACCGATTTGCGTCTAGCCCTAGGTCGAAACAACGGCGACGTTGAAATATGGAACCCCAAAGACGGTCTCTGGGTACAGGAAACAATTCTAAGAGGTAGGAAAGACACCACGATCGAACAGCTTGTGTGGACCCAGGAGTTGGTATTGGATGAGCCGCACAATTCTGGCGCTCCGAAGACTTCACGGGGCCCTCTACGGCTTTTTAGTACCGGCGGGTCGACCTCGGTGACGGAATGGGATCTCAATACAGGCGCTCCCAGAAGCAAAGCGGAAGGAAATTTTGGAGATATTTGGTGCTTTGCAGCACAACCTCAGCTTGAAGGTGCTACAAGTCCGGATGACCTCCAAGGCGGCGCAGGTGCACAGTTGCTCGCAGCTGGGTGTTCAGATGGGACAATCATTCTCTTCTCTACCGAAGACGACGACCTGCGCTACCTCCGACCCCTAGCACAACCTCCGGTCAAGAAACCTAAAGTCCTGAGTCTGGTATGGCGCGACCGTAACACTGTGGTGGCTGGTTATGAAGACAGCACGATCCGTGTCATCGACATCACGAGCAGAAGAATCATGAGGAATATGAGCCTGGGAAAGCCAACCGAAGGCAACAACTCGGTGGTGTGGACTGTCAAATGCCTCCCTGATGGGAGCATCGTCTCTGGCGACTCGTCCGGTGAATTGAAAATATGGGATTCTAAAAACTACTCTCTGGTGCAACGGCTAAAGAGCCACAAAGCCGATATACTCGACATTGCTACGAGCGCCTCTGGGGACATGATTTTTTCAGTTGGTGTCGATCGGAGGACTGTGACCTACAAGTTGGTCCCTCTTCACCCAGGAAGTCAGAAGTCGAGGTGGGCCGAGGTATCACACAAACGTTTCCATCAGCACGATGTCAAATGCGCAGCCACATTTGAGAGTAAGGAGTTGAGCATTCTGGTGTCAGGAGGCATGGATGC